GTTCATGACTTGAAAATGGAAATAGAAGCAATAAAGAAAACACAAACTGGAATTCTGGAAAATCTAGGTAAGTGAACGGGAGCTACAAATGCAAGCCTCGCTACCAGAATTCAAGAGATGGAAGACAGAATCTCAGGCATTGAAGACACAATAGAAGAAACAGATACATCAGTTAAAGAAAACGTTAGAATCTAAAAAAATTCCTGACACAAAACATCTGGGAAATCTAGGACACTATGAAAATACCCAACATAAGAATAATAGGAATAGAGGAAGGAGAAGATTCCCAGCTCCCAGGCCCAGAAAAATATATTCAACAAAATCATAGAAGAAAATTTTCTTAACCAAAAGAAGGTGATGTTTATAAAGGTACCAGAAGCATACAGAACAGCAAATACATTGGACCAGGAAAGAAAGACTCCTCAGCACATAATAATCAAAACACCAAACATACAGAACAAAGTAAGAATTCATATGGAAAAGGAAAAAACCCAGGATAACTAAAACAATCCCGTACAATAAAAGAACTTCCAAAGGCATCAAGCTCTACTACAGAGCTATAACAATAAAAAACAACATGGTATTGGCATAAAAACAGACAGGTCGATCAATGAAATTGAATTGAAACCCAGACATAAATCCATACAACTATGGACACCCAATTTTTGACAAAGAAGCTAAAAATATAAAATGGAAAAAAGAAAATCTACTCAACAAATGGTGCTGGTCTAACTGGATGCCAGTATGTAGCAAAATGCAAATAGGTCCATATCTATCAACCTGCACAAAACTCAAGTCCAAGTATATCAAAGACCTCAATATAAATCCAGATACACTAAACCTGATGGAAGAGAAAGTGGGAAGTAGCTTTGAGTGCATTGGCACAGGAGACAACATCCTGAACATCAATAGCACAAACATGAAGATTGACAATAAATAGTACTTCATGAAACTGAAAAGTTTCTGTAAGGCAAAGGACACTGTCAATAGGAAAACTCAGCAGGCTACAGATTGGGAAAAGATGTTCACCAACTCCACATCTGACAAAGGGCTGATTTCCAAAATATACAATGAATTCAAGAAAGTAGATATCAGCAAACCAAATAATCCAATTAATAATGGGGTACAGATCTGAACAGAATATTCTTAGCATTATAATCTTAAATGGCTGATAAACACTTAAAGAAATGTTCAGAGCTGGAGAGATGGCTCAGCCAAGATCACAACCAAAATATAAGAAATGTTCAATATCCTTAGCCATCATGGAAATGCAAATCAAAACAACTCTGATATACCATCTTGTACCTGTCAGAATGGTTAAGGTCAAAAATACAAGTGACAGCTTATGCTGGAGAGGATGTGAAATAAGGGGAACACTCCTCCATTGTTGGTAGAAGTCAAACTTGTATAGTTGCTTTAGAAATAAATATGGCAGTTTTTCAGAAAATTGAGAATTGATCTATCTTAAGACCCAACTATACTTCTCTTGGACATATACCCAAAGGATGCTCAATCATACTACAAGGACACTTGCTCAACTATGTTCATAGTAGCATTATTTATAGTAGCTAGAACCTGGAAGCTAGATGCTCCTCAACTGAAGAACAGATAAAGAAAATGTGGTACATTTATACAATAGAGTATTTCTCAGCTGTTAAAAGTGATGGCATCATGAAACTTTGCAGGCAAATGGTGGAAACTAGAAGAAATCACCCTGAGTGATGTAACCCAGACCCAGAAAGACAAACATGGTATTTACTCACTTATAAGTGGATATTAGCTGTAAAGGAAAGGATAAATGTGCTCTAATCCACAGACCCAGAGGGACTAGGTAACAAGGAAGGCCCAACTGGGGACACACATATCTCTCTGGGAAGAGGAAATAGAGATATTGTGGGTAGAGTGGGAGCTAGTGGGGATGGGAACATGAGGGATCATCTCAGGGATGGGTGGGGGAAGAGTACTAAAAGAGACAACTTTAAAGGGGGTCATTTCAGGGTGAGGTAGAACCCTGGTGCAAGGGAAACTCCCAATTATCTAAAAGGATTACCCCACCTAAGACTCCTTGCAACAGGGCATATGTAGCTGGAACATGCCATCTCCTTTGACCTAGCAAGACTACCAGTAGAGGGATTAAGACACCAACCCAGCCATATAACCTTCTACCTACAGTCTGTTCTGCCTATGGCATATATGCTTGGATAAGAGTGGCATAGAGATTGTGGGTGTGGCCAACCAATGACTGGTCCAGCCCGAGGACATGTCACTAGAGTCCTGGAGCACCAGGACCAAGAGGCTAGATGACCCTGAGAGCTAGGATAGAACCAAACATGACTGATGAAAAAAAGTCAAAGTAAGGATGCCTAATGATATTCTGCTATTAGGCACAGATTGGTGCCTATCTCAATAATCACCAGAGATGATTCATCTAGCAACTGGTGGAAACAGATGCAGAGACCCACAACCAAACATTAGGCAGAGCAGGGAATCCTGCTGAAGAGAGGGCGGAAGATTGTAGGAGCCAGAGATGTCAAGGACATCAAAAGAAAACCCACAGAATCAACTAACCTGGGCTCATAGGAGCTCACAGAGATTGAACCAACAATCAGGGAGCCTGAACTAGGCACTTTGCATATATGTGACAGTTGTGTAGCTTGGTCTTCTTGTGGGATTCCTAACAGTGGGAGCAGGGGCTTCTTGACTCTTTTGCTGGCGTTTTGGGAACTTATTCCTCATACTGAGTTGCCTTGTCCAACCTTAATACAGGAGAGATGTTTAGTCCTACCACAACATGATATGCCATGTTTGGTTGATATCCATGGGAAGTCAACCTTTTCTGAACAGAAATGGAAGAGGAATGGATAGAGGAGACAGAAGGGAGGTGGTGGCAGGAGAGGATGCAGGGGAAACTTTGGTTGGAATGTAAAATAAAAAAATAATTATTTAAAAATAAGAATGGAGAAGAAACGCTTTCAAATCTTATAATTAAATGAAAATATAAATAGAAAATACAAAAAATACAAGAATGGTTAAATATGGGGAATATAGTTAAGGGATTAAAAGGGAATGGGAGTGAAAGATAAGACGGAGAAAATGGTTAATGAATAAGTTAAACAAAAACTAAGGATGTTATGAAAAATATGAAAACCTACTTGTTAAGAAGATAATTTAAAAATGCAGTTTTAGAAAGAAACAGTAAGAATGGGATTGCCCTACGTGGATGAACCAAGACATGGTTCATTATTTAAAATCTCATTACAAGGCATGAGATACCTCCCTATGAATTATTGGTCAGGGAGCATCAGAGGTATCAAAAACAACACAAGCTATTGCCATTGCCCTTGGTTACCTACCATAGCTACATGGTAAGATTCTATTAGGGGAAACACCATATATTTTGGCTGCATGATATAGAGGAATCAATTTCAAAACACCTGGGAAACATTCTCCTGCTGGTCACCTTTCATAGTGTTATAAGCTATGCAGGCCTGCTGGGGGAGGAAAGACATTGGTGATCTCATCCAGTGCTGAGTCCTGCATGCTACAGTGTGTGCCCACAGATGTGAAAATGGCATGGAGATTAATTATGATTGGATTTGAGGTCTGCTTCACAGGAAGTAATTTCAGACCTGGTACTGTAGCCCTCACAAGAGCCCATAGCTTGTAAGGTCATATAGGCCCTAGGGTACAAACCACTGTTATTGTTTTGCTAAATGGTAATATTGTCCAATTGCCTTCTAAATATTTGTTTGAACCTTATAACCTGGGCTGCTCTCAGCCTTGGTCAGAGAGGCTTCTTTTGGCAATGGGCAACACTTAATGCAGTCTTATAACAAAAGTCAGTGCCATGAGAATCAATGATGGATTGTACAGTACCAAAGACATGTGATAATCCTACTACCTCTAAAGCTCAGGGATATGACAGAAGATTGGAGAGACAGTAAAAGACAGCATGGGAAGAGTTCGATGAAGTGTTGTCTTCTGCGTAGGGCATGACTATTGTACTTAGGATCTCACAGTGTCTGTGGTTACCTTCAGAACATCAAGCCAGCCAAATCCCAGGATTGATGATGGCAATGGCCCAACCCTTATTGAGAAACTATTGGTAGTGGATAGTTGCTGAAGGAGGCAGAATCACTGCTTTTGAGAATGAGGATGTGGCCACTAAGAGGTTTCCCATACTCTAGAGGTTGGTCACCTATGCATATATGGATCACATTAACTGGATTAGTAGATTATCAAAAATAAAGATACATTTGGGGTAGTATTGGGAGTATAGGAGTCTATGATGGGGTTAAATGGGGGGGAGCTAAAATTGCATTTTATTGTATGTATACATGTATGAAATTTCCAGAAACATTTTAGTAAGAAAAATCCTGATGTGTGAACAAGGAATGATTCCCAGGATGTGGTGTTAAATGAGTCAACCATTTTATAAAACAATGCATATCATATGCTACTACCCATTTAAAATCATTGCTACAATTTGGGAATAATTAAAGTACAGGGATACAAAACCAAGAAGAATAGTTTGACATTGCCAAATAAATGCATGGGAGACATTTGTGCTTTTGATTTTGTACTGTGTATACATGTAACCTATAAAAATAAATAGAGCTTTAATTGGCAAATAATACAAATTTAAAAATAAAAAGCAAACAAGCAGGTACCCACAGGCATTGGAGAGCCCCTTTCCAGTGCCAAAGATAGAAAATAATGTGTTTACTGTTGGATTGTCTACAATGTTTTATGTCCTTTCTATAGCCTTCTTTCCAAATACCTGCTTGCAATTTTGTCTCAGTTTTTAGCAGCATGACTCCTCACTCCAATCTCATCTTATTCCACCTTAAATTTTCTACTCAGGAAATTTGAGTTGAGTGAAAATGATTAGAAAAGACAGATACATACTTTCCTTGACCTTAAAACCCTGTGCTATCAAAATGAGCCTCATATATCAGCACCTATGATACCCAAAGGATTAGGAACAAAGGAAGACTGACCTAGTGGCGATGACCACCTCGGTGGAGTACCTGGCCTTCAGGATTTTGTTCAACTCAGTGGTTGCAGTCTGTACACGCTGGATGGCAGCAGCCTAAGGGAAAACAGAGTGTCCAGTCTCAGAAGCTTAGTGCTGTCTCCTCAACCCACCTCTACCACCTGCTTTACCAGAAATTCAACTGCCTTTCTGGAAAAAAACCTCAAATAATTCTTGTTAAAGGTACCTACAGATAATCTTGGGCCTAAAATCATTCTAAAAATGAGAGAGGCACCCTAACCCCAACCTTAACCCTGATGTGGTAGACTTTGGGGAGCCCCCATGGAGGGCCCTACCCTCCCTGGGGAGCTGAGGGGGGATGAGGTAGGGAGCTGGTGGGGGTTGGGGGGAGGGGAGGTAGAGGGAGAAGGGATTGACATGTGAAGCAGGCTTGTTCTTAATTTGAACTAATAAAAAATAAAGAAGAAAAGGTGGCGCAGGCCTTTAATCCCAGCACTCGGGAGGCAGAGGCAGGTGGATCTCTGTGAACTCGAGACCAGCCTGGTCTACAAGAGCTAGTTCCAGGACAGCCTCCAAAGCCACAGAGAAACCCTGTCTTGAAAAACCAAAAAAAAAAAGAAAACAAAAAAGAAAAGCCTCATATATTAGTAGAAAACAATAGATCTGTGATTCTGATTCATAACTTTCCAATAGCAAAAGATTACTTTTTGAATAAGGTTACTAACAATACAGCTTCCAATCATATAGTACTGAATATGTGACTGACTGTATTCGAAGTTATATGTATATCATTTTTATGCACTCTCATTATCTACCCTTAGAGGAAAAATTACTTATATGCCCATTTAATAGAAGAGAAAACTGAGGCACAGGAGAGACTCAATCGGTAGCAGAACTTAGATTTGATTCCAGGTAGTCTGTATTCCTAATTACAAGTTCTAATACTATCACTACCAAGTTCAAGCATCTACCATGTCCTTATAATTATACTTTGTATGTTGTATGTTTCAAATTTGTCCAATTCTCCTCATCTAGTCACAAACCTAAATCACTAACATCTCTAGTCTGAATAATAGCACCTCCCATTTTTTCCCCTTGCCTCTGATCTTTAGTCCCTGATTTGTCTCCTCACCCACCATGGGCTACTGCTCAATGATGGGTAGTTGGTTGGGCATGCAGTAAAGCAAATATAATGAGATTTCAATGGGGGACCATTGTCCCATTTCAGCAGGAAGTAACTTGGAGGATGCTATGCCGCCATCCCCCATTATTGTCTATTAGGGTAGTGTAAGCCTAGTTAGGAATAACTTCCCTATTGTTTAGGGTTGGGATTGGAAGGAGGTGTTCAGGTTGGACACCCCTCTTTCAGATGACTTTAGGGTTTAGCTGAAATAGACATGATTAGGATATGCAATAGCAGACTTCTTGTATTTCACCTTTATGATTGTTAATTTTGGATACTTAACACTGTTAAGTTTTAATCCTCTTTTAGACTAAAAGGGGAATTATAGGGGACAGTAAGCCATGCCTGTCAAGACATGGTCAAGGTGAGGTCAGGATGATGTGGCATGGGCTCTTAAGGAACCTCGAGCACATGGAAGCCCCTTCTACTCCCCCTCACTGCTTGGCTGCCCCTGGCATGCTCTAGCTTTTGTTTGGCTGGTATTAATCTGAATAAAGGTATCTTGAACCTACAAGCTCTCCCATCACAGCAGAGTGATATACACCCAGGGTTGATGAGATGGAGGCAGAGACAGGCAGAGCCCTGGAGTTGTGTCAGCTAGCTGGCCTTGCCTACGCTGTGATGTTCCAGGCCAATGAAACTCTATGTCTAACAAAAAGATGGAAGGTGCCTAAGGACACAAACCAGAAGTTGTCCTCTGATCTCCAACCACATTTGTGTGCTGTGCACATGTATACCTACCCCACATACATGTAAACAACCCCCCCAAACTCTTGTAGAATTCTCACTGCACTTAGGATAAAAGTCCAAATTTCCTAACATGCTTTATTAGCCCTTTCTGGGTTGGTCCCTGGTTACTTCTCTAGTCTCTCATTTTGCATGTTCTATCCTTGGTCACCATTCCCTGGATATTATGAATGTGTTTCGGTTCTGTTAATATTATACAGCCTTTCTTGGAACAGTATAAAAACAGGACTTGTGGTGGTTTGAATAAGAATGGCCCCCATATGTTCATATATTTAAATGCTTAGGGAGTAGCACTATTTGAAAGAATTAGGTGTGGCCATGTTGGAGGAAGTGTGGGTGGGCCCAAGTTAGTCCCAGTAGCTCTTCCTGGTGCCCAAGAAACAAGATGTAGAGCTCCCAGCTACTTTTCTAACACCATGTCTGCCTGTGTGCCACCAAATCCCTGCCATGACAATAACAGACTAAACCTCTGAAACTGTAAGCCAGCTCAAATTATATATTGCTGTGTGAGGTCTTAGAGGGATACTCCCTCAGCCTAGACACACTGGGGGAGGGCCTAGGCCCTATCCCAAAGGATATGACAGACTCTAAAGACCCCCACATGGAAGACCACATTCTCCTTGGGGAGCAGAAATGGTATGGGATAGGTAGGGTGTTAGTGGGGGGCAGAGGAGGAGGGGAGGGAGAGGGACCTGGGATTGACAGGTAAAACAATCTTGTTTCTAATTTAAATAAAAGAATGGAGGAAAAAAGAGCTGCTTTGGTCATGGCATCGCTTCAGCAATAGAACACTGACTAAGAAAGCCCCCTTTTTTTCTTTTCTCCTAGTTATTGATATTTCTTAGGTCTATGCTGAAATGGCACTCATTCTGGATGTTTTCCATGACAGCTCACAGAGGGACATGCAGATATACATGTAGTATTTTATTAATACTTTTACTTTTTCTACCTCTAAATATACTCTGAGGTCCGCAACAAGGGGCATATTCTTCCTTATCTACTAATGTGTAAGTAACATTTCCTAATACAGTGCCTCATATGCCGTAGTTATTTCACAAACAATTTTTAATGTATGAATAAATAACTAAAATGACTTATATCCCTAATGCCTAACATCTGTAGTAAATAGCTGCTGATTGATGTCTCCTGTCCTCAGAGATCTCATCCTCATCAAGTCCATGGAAATACTTTATATTCCTCCTAGGCTTTTCTTTTTATTTCATGGGTGATAAAATGTTTGCTCTGAATTATAGCTGACCAATAATCACCTCAAATCTTGGCACATCCATTTCCACCTGTCCTTTTAGCAGTGGGAATTGTTTGGGGGTCTCACGGATCATCACACTCCATCTAAAATAAATTTAAACACAAATATTATTCAGGTTTCTGCTAATTACCAGTGAAATCAACACTTGAAGTACAAGAGTTCAAACCATTCATGTGTTTGGGGAAGTGGGCTACAGGGTATACTCAAGCAGTATACCTGACCTCAAAGTATACATAAAAGAGGATTCATGACATCCCTAGATTAGTGTGATGGAAGGAATTTTTTTCAGGACTGTCAGAAATCAATGTTTTAAAACCAGAGGTAGCATTATGAGCACCAGAAATATTTTTATTAAATATTTATGCCAGATCCTTGTCCAAGAGCTACAGAATAAGAAACTCTGTTATAGTACCAGATTTGTATCTTGAAACCCATACCAGTCCTATTTCTCAGGATATGGGAGGACAATATTCTTTATTCTCTGGAGCAGAGAAAATAAAGCCAATTGTTGCTGAATCTCCTCCCCCTTTTTAAAGTTTCTCTGAGAACCTGATAATATGATAGATTATTTCTCACGAGTCAGTATGCTTCCACTGGACTAATAACAAGTGACATTTTGAATAACATGCACCAAACCCTTGAAATGTATCTGTGAAGCCCCTGCTCTATGATCATTAAGCAGAGGAGAGGGGCTTCTATAATATTTGAGGGGTTCATGGCTCTCTGATTTCTCAATAGACAAGATCTTCCAAATGAGTCTGCACTTCCACCACAGGAAAATGGCACTTTTCTGGACTAAGATGATACAAATAGAAGAGGCACAAGGATACGTCCTTTTGGTCACTCACCTGTCCAAAATCCTCACATGAGCCTGCTCTACTCTGTTGAGAATATCCACTGGTGATTTGCTTTTATTCCAGAATGCTCCCCAGCCAAGGACTCTAGCGAGATCATTACCAGTTCCAAGTGGGATGACTGCCAGTTGACACTGCAAGAACAAAAAGAGACAAGCTTTTCCGACAGTCCTTCCACCATGTCTCACTCACTGAAAGACATTAGGGTGCTCTTTGGGAAGGAATAGGCAGAAATAGGCCTTACAACCAGGGGTTTTAAAGGATTTCTTTATAGGAAGTTTAGCAAGAGGGTACTTGGTGTCGAATGATATTTTCTCAAAGGAATTGGACCCCATTAATCATCATCATCATCATCATCACCAACTCAGTTTCTGGGCTATTGCAAGTCATAGCTATACCTATAAATGAAGACTATAACTACCGTTTCTATTTGAGCTGGGGCTCAGCAGGGGGGGGGGATGCTTCAGGAGACAAAGATTCTGGACTCAGAAGAGTAAGGGGAGGCCTAGAGATGGAGAAAATTAGAGGAAGATTTATGCCTCTCTAGAGACTGGGAGAAGAAAATCATTCCTCTCACAAGAAAATTGGAACATTCTTCTTTTTCACCTCTTTACTTTGAAGCCTAGAGAAGGCTCATTCATGTCCATTCCTTTATTTCTCCTTCACCCAGAAACAACTAGAGAATTGTCTCAAGTGAGCATGTTTAGACTGGCCAAGTTAACTATTAAGCTTGTAGATAAGATGAGTGCAGACTTGGGACTCCTTGAAACACACAGCTCCATACCCCCCCACACTCTTTCTAGCAATTAAATGGACTCAGCCAGGGACTTACCCTATCATGCAATCCATAGGCATCAATTGTAGATAAGACCCAGCTTACACTGCCATCTCCACCACAAACCAGAACACGAAAACGAGCAAAGTTCTTGAACATACAGATGCTGCAAGGAAGAAGGGGAAAATGAAATAATCATGACTAATTGGAATTTATACCTATTTCTTACAGTACGTAGGGTCTAAAGACTTCTGCTTTAGCATCCTTCTAACAAGGCCATCTGCCTTCTCTTTGCGTTAGCCTCTGAAATCTGTGTATATTTGTGACCACAACTTCACAAGGTAATCTCAGAAATCAGACCTAGCCTCAGCTCATATTATTTTATGCTTAGCTCTTCTCTGGAAACCACTAATAACCTAGCTATCTGCTGCGTCTCAGGAAGAATACTTTGCATAGTTTTCAGTGGCTTCCAGGAACCAGCACTGAACTGTCAAGTGATCCCATAGCAAAACAAGTCTGTAGTGACACACCCCTTTGCTTCTTCCTCTGACTTCAAAGAGCACAGTCTTCTGTCTTGCCAATTGGAAAAAAATGAAGCAAGTTTGGGAGCAGGAAAAGTGATGGAAGAGATTTCTGGGAGAGGGCCAAAAGGTAAAATATTCCAGAGTCATATATTTGTATATATGCTGGGGTACAAGGACTGATCCCAGAAAACTATTATAGCCTACAATGTAAAGGGCCAGTAATCTATTCTGTAAAGCCAACCATACCCCCTTAGCCCATGCTTACCCTGCTTCAGGTCCACCCTTCGACAGGTCAAATACTTGAGATGGATTAAGATACTGCTTGAATTTTCGGAGGAAGATGATCCCTTGATGATCTCCACTCTTGGAATTGATGAAGACGAGCAAGGGACAGGAACAAGTCAGTGGCCAGTCAAGATCCCAGAAGTCAGGCGATACCACTAATTGGCCTGATAGACACACAAAAAGAAAAAAGAAAAAGGGCAATTGAGACAAGATAAGATATGGTCTAGCATCACATTTTACACAGACTTTCTGAGTGCCAGCCCCAATCTTTTGCTATTGAGGAATAGAGGGAAAGTGAGAATACCATTAAAAGGGAAGTAAACATGTTTGCTCTGCTATTTCTAGGCATTCCCCTATCATTTTCTGAGAAAGTATTGTATACCAGATATATTAGATATTGTTAGGGATATAGCCCTTGACCTGAATACAGGGAGATGGACATATATACAAGTAAATATGTTGGAAGACAGTTAATGAAGAAATTGCTACACCAGCCAAAGGTTATTAAAACTCTGTGGGAAAAATGAAGATAAGGTTGAGAGCCCAAGAGGAGGAGCAACCCTCAAGCTAGTTTACTCTGCTTGGTCCAGCTCAGTGCTCATAGTGAGAATGGAGCAGGACAAGAGAGAAGGGAAAGAAAGACTGTCATTAAGCCAAGAGCTAACAACAGAGTTCTTAGCACAATAATACATCAATATAAGGCAAAGCCAAGAACTTTAATCACATCTATAAGGCTAAGAAAGAGCAGTTTACATTATCACACCAATTCCATGGCAGAATGAGCCTACAGATAAATTGTTTGAATAAGAGAGGCCTTTACTAATCTCTAACATTGAAGCTACTCATAGAGAATTGGTTATAATGACCAAATGGCAGTCTATATAGTAAAATCCTACCAGCTTGTGGTGAGTCTTAAAGCCTACTCACAATTTTTAATCCCTTTTAGGAGAAAGACTATCAACATATATCAGGCCCTCAAACATCTGAGATCATGGCTTGTTAGGAGTGCTCCAGAAAAAAAACATATAGGGAAAAATCATGTAACTCACTCCTATGTAGCATGGGTATGCCAAACATTAATATTATCTGTTGTGTCTGGCAAAATAAAAGGCAGCTTCCTCTATGGACTGTCTCCCACTAATTGGCTGGTGGTTTTAAAAGGCATCATAAGCAGTTATGCACCACATTTCCAAGGCTTGCCAGAACTTGCAACCACAAGAGGAATCTACTATATTTCATTAGTAGTATAGCTTGGATATAATTACCTTCCATGAACAACTACAATACCCTTATCAGCAATTTTTAATGAAAGGTAAAATGGTATCATAATGGTATCTCTACATTAATTCACTCATCACACATTCATTCATATATTCATTCATGCATGCATTTATTTGTTCATTCAACAAATATGTATTGAGGATGTTCTCTGTGCCCATTCTTGTTCATGTTGGTGGACAAAATACAACTCTTTATTTTAATGAAGGCAAGATAAATATAAAACATAATGTTTTATGGAGAAAAACAACATTGAAAGGGAGTAGAGCTTGTTCTTTTAAGCAATGTGGCCAAGATTAATTCTCTGGGAAGGTGACATTTAAAATGATACTCAAGCAAATTAAGGAGTGAGTAATTCAGACGTTTTAAAGGAAGAGGCTTTTGGGGGGACAAGAAAAATTGCTAAGACCTTGAGAGGGTAGTCTAAGTTGTCTGGGAACAGTATGACTGTTAAAGAGTGAGTGAGAGGAAAAGTTGGAGAGCATGACATCAGAGAGATGACAGGGACCTGATAACATGACATCAAGATGCTTAGAGGAAGCAATGTGAAAGATAGGTGAGATTGAAACTGCCAATCATTATGAGTCAGTTCACAAGATGTTTTCTGATGTATCCCAACAAGTAATGCAGACTCCAAGAGATATGATTTGAATATGAAATATCCCCCACAGACTGGTGTGTGTCCTTAGTCAGAGGTGCCAGTAAATAATCTTTAGAAGGTATGAACATGTTGGAGAAAGTGGGCCACTAGGTTGGCAGGCCTTTTGAGGGTCATTGTCCAGCTCCAGTTTAAGCCTCCATCTCTCCAATTCTTGGTCTGCACTGATCAAGTAAGCTCACATGTTGCTGCCACCATAGAGTCACCCATTGCCATACTTTCCCTACCATGATGGACTGGACTGGACTCCTTTAAACTGCAAGCCAAAATACATCCTTCTTACTTTACGTTGCTTCTTGTGACATATATGATCATAGCAATGTGAAAAGTAACCAATACACTGAGGTGAGGGATATAGGAAATTGAGATCAGAGAAAAGACACATTTAAGATTTTCTTGTAAGGATTTTGTATTAATTTTAAAAAGAAAACTACTAGTCTATGTGAATATATTTGCCAGTCAAGAATTAAGAAATAAGAAACTGAAAATTATGTTAACGATATCTATAAGTTAAATAACCATGAGAGTACAGTGGAATTTATTGTTTCAGAATCATCTGGCAGCTTTGAGCATGTACTATACTTCATAGTATATTTCTATAAGAGAGGTAATTAGTTGTATGTTATAGGTGGTTACCCTCCCAGTATATTCACTAAACTACAGTAAACATCTTAAGCTCTCTAAGAGGTCATCTTTTCATATGTGTAACAGTAGTGTGTTGCAGCGATGAACAAAACAGTCAGCATAGTGAATTGGAGTGTAGAAATGATAGGTTCATAATCAAGTAAACATCCTGACTGACAAGTTTTCTTTTAAGTGATTGATGTCAACTTCAAGGGACTTTCTTGTGCCGTTTCACAATTTTATTCTGTAATTCAGGTGAGAGCACAGAAAGCTGGCATGGAAAGTTTGAGTACCCTAAATTTGAGAAAGAACTATTGGATGACAGAATAAAGAGTAGAAAATGACCTCAATGGTCATGTGAGTCAGAGTAAACAGATGGGTAAGTGTGCACCTTGGTCTTCACGTTCAGGCTCAAGGACATAAATATACTAGAACAGAACAATAGAGACTTGGCTTGGCAGAATCAAGTGTGAAAAGAATAAAGGGGCTTTAGCATATGAATCAACACCCTGAAGAATCTCTTAAAAAGAGCTCATGTTTTTGTTCAGCTGCACTAATACAATCACCTAATCCAGGGGACAACTAGTTTCACTCCAGTTCACTGTCTTCACTCCACAGAAGGATGCGAAATTGGCATAAGTCTTGCTTACTGTTGCCCTTCCTATACTACTGAAGTAATCTTTAATGATGTTTAAATAAATTTAACCTTTATAATGTACCTGAGTATTTATCATTTCCTATCTGGAGAAAAGAAATGACAAATGGCACCATGAGCTAGATCCACCCTTCCAGGTTGAACAAGTTTATGGAGAATGAGTTGCCAACACTAAGTGGCAGCAGACATGTCTAGGAAATACTGTGAGGATTTATTGTCTGTATGAATGTTGTTATGTGATCATTGAATGTGTAGAAATGGCAGTGGACAGAAGAATAATAGTAGAATCGTGGTCATATGAGGAGATAGTATCATGGAAGTATTGTTAGGGCCTGTTTTACTAGGACATCAATATTGAGTCATGTATATTTCTGTATGAAATGTTTTGCTAAATAAACTTTAGTAATAGTGGAAAAATTGAGAAATGAGGAGGAACCACATTAAGTAACTTATTTAAGACCACAGAGTAAACAATGGAGCATGTATGAACCAGTAGCATAGAAAGCATCGAAGAAATTTTCAGAAATGCAAATTATTGGGCATCTCCCAGGTATACTGAATTAAAACCTCTGAGGGTAGGGACCAAAAATCTGTGTTTTAATAAATCCTTCCCAATGAATTTGATGCATGATTATGTTTATAACCACTGTGTGAGTTCTTATTTTACTGCACAGGAACTAATTAACTTGGGGAAGTGAAAAGAGGCCATCATAAAAGCAATAGAACATAATACTTGATTTGAGCTGGACCCTAAAGGAATTTACTAAATAGATGGAGTAGAGAAAAGTGGGTAATTAGAGACCTTGTCAATCAATTGGAGCCTCTTGACTGAATCAGTGAATGCAGGAATGGATGCACAACAGCCCTGTCAAAGGCTGCCTCAGAAGGTCATCATTTGGTTGCTGGAGAAAGGATTTCTAGCTTGGCTGAAAGGTTGGAACATATGAACCTTAATACATCATTAAGATTCCATGACTGAGAAATGCAGAATATTCCCCTAGAATAGAATGGACTCAGAAGGATTCCTACTCTTGAAGGGCCTATTTGTCAAGGCTAAGAAGAAAGAGTTCTTTAAAGCCTTTTGTGAGGAAGTCCAGGCTAAGTAACACATAGGAGAAAAAAAGGATTGTCAGCATGATATCCAAGTGGACCATGATTGCTGCTCCATAGAACCCAAAATTAAATGATGCTTCATAGCACACTAGATGACACAAAATAACAGGCCAGTCCAGGCACGTCTATGTAAAATAAAGCAGTGCCGGTAGTTGATGATCCATAACAAGATTCAGAAGTGATGTAGGACAAAAACAGCCTCACATCGGATATAAACAACTTCTACAATGACAGAAACCACAGAACATGTTTGACTTGGACACAAAGAATAGTTACTAACCCCACTAATATACAGTTGGGATGACTTTGTGGGATGCTAACTATCTCCAGATAATAGTGAAGGAAACAGGAGCATAAAACCCAAGGTTGTAGGTTGATTTCTATCATCAGAGAAGCTTCCTCTTGTAGCAGATGGTAACAAGTACAGAGAGCCATAGCCAGATATTATACACAGATAGAACTATCTTGGAACACATAGTTCTAAATGGGATGTCCCCATTAAATTTCTCCCCTTCAGGACTCAGGGAACCACACAGAAGAGGAGGCAAAAGGAGTGCAAGAGCCAGAGGGGATGGAGGACATGAGGAGAACAAGGTCCTCTAAAAAAACTGAGCAAAGTTCATAAGAACTCACATAGACTGAACCAGCAAGCAAAGGGACAACATGGGTCAGTACCAGGTCCTTTGTATATATATTATGGTTTTTCAGTTTAGTATTTTTATGGGACTCCTGTGTGTGAGCAAGCGGGACTCTGATTCTTTTGCCTTCTTTTGGGGCTCTTTTTCTTCTGTTGGTTTGTCTCGTTCAAATTTAATGAGATGTTTTTTATTTTATCTTATTATATTTTATCTTGTTATGTTTTATTGTTATGTCTTAGAAGCCTGTTCTTTTCTAATGAGAGATAGAAAGGGAGTGGTTCCAGAGAGTCAGGGAGGTAAGGAGGAACTGGGAGGAATGGAGGGAGAGGAAATTATGATCAGAATATATTGTATGAAGAATCTACTTTCAATAAAAGGAGGGGATGAATGCATGGTAATGAGGCAAGAAAAAAAGTAGGTTGACTTCATGAGCAGCCTGAATTTGCTCAGGTAATTAGCTTGTTACTTTTCCCCATATGTCAATTCCACCTTTCTTAGGTCTCTTCATTCTTCTATCCAGTCAACCATCTCTCATTGATCAAATTATCAACTTCTTCTCCTCTTTAGTCAATTGTCTAGTGGGTGATGTTATGAAGATAAATATTTGAATAGATCTGAGAATAATACATTCATGCATCTCTGAGTGAATTTACCTTTGTGTCTTTATATGGTACTATGACACACATGCTTACACTTGCCTTCAGAAACTTCTGGAAATGACTCACTCAATAGCTTGGGGTTTGTCTGCACCCATATTTTTGTCAATATTTCTAACACTTATTTGATATCTGAGTATCTCTATTATTTCTTTGATACTTAACATATGTTCCATTCAATTGTTAATTGTGGCATTAGACCAAGACACCAAGACCCTGCTGAATTAATCATGATTAGGTGCTGTACAATGTCTACTTTAGATCTCCCTTTGCAGGATTCAAGAACTTTGTGAAAAAGAACTTTCAATAAACCACAATTATCCAGGAAGTGACAAAATATCAGTGAAGAGTGCTGGGGCAATAACCATGCTGGATTCATATTTAGTTACAATTTTGGTGTTAGTTTCCATTTAAATATAATAGAACCTAAGCTTTCAATAGGTTTTGAAACATTGGTTCAAAAAACTATGAAATCCATTTCCCAGATAAGGTAGCATTTGAAAATCTAAAAAAAAAAATGTTAAGAAAGCTGAAATTAATTTTGAACAATTGGAAACAATTTTGACAGTCTACAGAGAACATGCCCATACATAACACCCATACACCAAAACACAGCATTTGCCATTAAAAAGGTTGAAGGAATAACTGTTAGGTTTTTTATGCAAACATACAAATTCACATTTCACCCAAATATTTTACTAGTTGTGGAGAGTAATTCCCGCCCTTCTTCCCAGTCTTTATACCTTCCCTCCCTTCCCAGTGTGTTTCTGAAGTAAAGGTCAATCTACTCACCATCGCCTCTGGGGTCGCTCAGTGCAGTAGGCGGTACAACTGACGAGCGACGATTTCCAAAGGAACATTCCTTGGAAAAACGCCTCTGGCAGGCCCCATGCACCTGCAACGATAAGAGCACAAGAGAAAAAGGAAGGGGAGAGACAAAAAAGAACACTGATTAGTCTTTGGTTCCATTTCAAGAATTAGACCTCTTATATTTCAATTCTCCCTTTCTGAAATTTTGTACTATCTACATAAACCTTAACTCACTTGGCACCACCCCACACCATTCTACTGTTAAACTACAATATCCCTGAGTATGCAGAACTCTGGCCCTTTCAAAGGTGTCCTTCTGAAGATTCCCAACTACAGGTACTGAGATGTCATTGGCCTTAGGACACAATCTGAGTAGCCCGCAGAATGGGAAATTTAGTTGAATTTCCAAAGTCCTAATCCTGATGCTTATACTTCAATCTTTAGAACAATTGTATGTGGCAGGAAAAGCATCACTGAGTTCATTTTATAAATGAGCATATATGAAAGCCCACAGAGTTAAAGGGTCTTAACCCAAGGTCAAATAGCTGGGAAGTGTTAAAGCAGACTTCCCCACAAGTTGTCACTCTTCCTAGATTTCAGACCTCTTCACATTCATTCCACATCCTAAACAGCTACACTTTCTAGGGACATGAGCCTGACATGGCTATTTCAAGGCAATTAACAGGAGGCCAGTGGACAGACTCTTCAGTGAAGAAGCTCACTTCAGTTTCTTCTTCTCTTAGAAAACTCAGTTTGAGAGAAGCGTCTAAGTTTAGAAAGTCAAGATCAGGGTCTCTCAATCTCTGTCATACTGATTTATTTTTGGCCCAGACAGTTCCTTGTTATAGGATACTATCCTGTGCATTATACGTTTTGAAGAATCTACTGGATTCCAGTTGCATCCTTCCTGTCTAGTCCAGTTTTGGCCATCAAAAAGGACTCCAGATATTGCAAAATGTCTCTTGGAGCCAAAATTATCCTCCAGTTGAAGGCCAGTGTTTCAAAGACATGGTAGTGTTGTACTTAGGAACATGGTCTTATCAGAACTATATATTGAGACATTATATTTTGCTGGCTATATGACCTTGGGTTCACTTTCTGAGGCACACATTACTCATCTGTAAAATGGGGACAATGAGGCTTAGTTCAATGTTGTTCTAAAGATTGAGATCATGAATAGATGATATTCAATACATAGTGGCAATGATAATTTGTTATCATCATTAATACCCATTAATAAAGATTGTAAGTTTATAGGTAGTAATGAATGAGGAAGGAATCCTTTCTTAATGATAGTCTCCAGAATTTATTTCTAATTGCTCATATTGTCATCTGAGAATTCAGCTTTTCTCATTGCCAAGATGCCTTCATCAATTAAGAAGCATCAGACTACAAACACTTTTAAATCTTTCTCCCAAAGACTCCATAGCCATATAGGAAAGGCAAGTTACTGGGCTTTGTACTATGGAATCTATATAATGCATTTTGGTGTAAGAGTCTCTATTTACCTATTTATCCCTGTATAGTTACAGACAATCCCCAATCTACCTCTTCTCTAGCAATAAGCTTCTTTAAGTACCAAAGATATGAAAAGAGACTCACCGTGGAGTCACACCAGAGGCAGCGGAAATCTTGAAGTCTGTGATGACTACCGCAGATTCGATGACATACTGCACAATGAGAGTTGGCAGGTATATTTCCTTCTACCCATTGATGAGGCATGGTTTCCTGAAGTGGAAAAAAGCAAAAAATAGAAATTAGTGATAAGAGAAGGTACAGCTTGGATAATCATACTACCCGTGGAGAACATTAGATAAAAGTCTCATGGATCTGCCCTCAATGCTACTGACTAATGGAAGGTGGGAGTTGGGGTTTAACTCATTGATATTCATTGGGTCATTGGATTCTGTGGAAGAGACTACTTTGCTTGTCTAGTGTCAGGAAGAATTCTTCCTGTCTCTGTGTGTCATGACTTGAAAGGAGTCGGGGAAGATGTCTGTGGGAGGATATGGCTGTTACTTACTATTTCGTCAGCGGGTAGAAGGAGGTCATCAGTTATGGACAAAGTATTCCACTTGCAGTCTTTGCTTGCTCTCAAAGCACACAATTTGTGTGATTTCACCTTACAGACTGTGAAAGGAGGAAGAAAAAAATAGGTGTGAGTCTAGTGACAATGAAAATTCTAATTCCCTTGCCTAAGCTTCTCTAAAGGTTAGAATTCAAGTGTTTTCTAAATAGTTTTGACCCACTTCCAAAGGCCTACTTCTAATGTGAACCAGTTCCTTTCAATTCTTTGCTAACTAAGCTTTCTTATTATTCATTTTACATTAAAATTAACAGTAAGAAAGAAATAATTTCTTACTTTTCAATCCTTCTTAGTCCATCTTCCTATATCCAACCCTCTATTTTCAGTCATGAGAACACCCCTTAATGCTAGTTTCTCCTTCCCTCCCTTAGAATTACCTTCACACAAGAAGCAACGATTTCGACTGGATCGGTAAACTAAAGCCATAGGAGACCCTGCGTGCCTAGCTCTATCCAGGGAGCTCTGCTTTCTAAAGCAGTCAGAAAGGTACCTTCACAGATGATGACATCTCGAGATAAGGCAGGAATGCTCTCGCGACAAACATTGCAGAACTGAGTCCGAGGGCTAGAGCTGGAATACCAGTAGTGCATTCCGATAAGGAAAGGGTTGTTTTCAGCTGGAGGTATCTGAAGCAAATCAAAGAGAAGAAAGAATGGAGGGTTAATCACAGAGATGGATTCGGGAAGACCAGAAAATCTGCTGCTAGGGCTAAAATAACCCACAGTGTAGGTGTCAAAGCATGTGAAGGAGAGGGCTGGTAGGTCCAGTTCCCACTTTTTGTTTTTATTTCATTTTGTTTCTGGCCTCTGAATGGTAAAAGAAATAGATGGGAATAATCTCAAATAGGAGCTGAAGACAGAAGTGTCTTCAGTCACTATATTAGTTTAGTCCAAGCAAATTTTGTTCTGATTGGTCTTGGTTCTCTTTAAATAGAAAACAAAATAAAGGAGTGAGTTGGAAATTGTGCGGTATCCAAATGCTCTGACAAAGAAAAGCAGGTGGTAGGGCTCACACACAGAGCTAAGGAATACCTTCAAGGTTTTAGCTCTTCCTCATAATACAACTACCAAGTGAGTAGAACATTGCTTTACTTGGACAACTCTTGAAAGACCTTTAAATCCTTTTCTCATGAACTTTTTCTTATTTTGAAAACCACGCTTTGACTACCTACAGTAGTTTCCTGGTTAATCATTTTAATCATCCAATAAGTTATTAAACAAATATTTACTGAATTGCTATTATATGCTTGTAACTTTCCAAGGCATTTGAGATATGATCATTAACAAGACACTGCTCTTGCCCTTATGATGGCATTCTGTTTAGTGTCTTCTTTCATACTAATAAGTTTGACAAGTTTTGTTATCATGCCTGAGAACACAGCATTTGTATATCACAGCCTGACTTTCACCTCTATAGGAAAGGCATATTCATGTATCAGCAATGGCTTGCTTTGTTTGGAT